TAAAATTTCATGAATTCATTGCTTTTAATTGAGATTAATAGCTGGGCCAACAGACCATGAAGTTAAAAGACAGTATGTACATCCAGAATATAACTTATATCTAGGTTTTTATGTTGGACATTCATATCCAAACAGAAAAATTGCCTTTTATTGCTATTTCTACAAAGGATTTTCTTTTTCTTTATAGAGTGCCTCCTTTGATGCTGGAAGCTTTGGAGTAATTTCAGACTGGCAAGGACTTCATGACTTAATGAATAGTCATATCAAACTCATGTTTATAATATTTTTCATTTTAATGCTGATTTACCCTTCTTTAGCACACAGTTTGAGATTCACAACGAATTCTTGAAATCATGAAGAAAATCTGTCCAATCTCTATAGTAGGTTTTAAAATATATTTTTAGACTGTAGATTCTTATATCAGAGAGAAATAAGAAATATGCATTTGTGCGGGTAAAACACATCAGGAAATTCAAGATTAAAACAGGAGGGAGAGCTGACATTTAAGAGGCATATTAATTTGCAAGCAAGAAATATGAATATCCTTAATAAAATGCAAGTGTCTTCCTTAGAAGTAAGGTTTCTCTCTTTTTGTTTATTGGGATGTTCCCTGATTTAGGAATAGTATTCAATTCCCAATAAACATCTAGGATATCCTAGCAACAGGATAAAAGAACTTGCTATCCACACTGAGTGCAAGTAGGCAAAAAACAAACCTTGCATTTTCTATACTTTCTATGTGAGCTGCCACCAAATGGTGTGGCCCAGAATTTATGACGGATCTTTCAACCTCAAATGTGGTTTAGCATAAATCTTCTTGATGATCTGATATAGAAAAATCCTTCACAGTGTGCTTAGCTGCTTAGGTTTTAGTTAATTCTAGATACAATCAAGTTGATAACCAAGATTAGCCATCACACAACCCCAAAATGAAGATAGTAGACATATTAAAGTTCAAAGTTCAGGGAGAACAGTAGTAAGCTGTGAATGCCAAAGTTTTAAACTTTATCCTAAACCAAGAAACAAATATAGCATACTCAGCTAAAACAAGTTTTAATTCATAGTCTTATATTTTCTAATTCATTTCATCTTTACTTAATTGCTAGTCAATTTATGGTTTCAAGGTCCATTTGTTTGAAAAATATTAGGTTTCATCACTACATGGATGTGAGAGAGTATCCCACAAAAGAAACACAGAGAACATTCTGCTAGCACATCTGTAACTCTCCTCCTATCTCAAGGAGGTGGGTAGTATAAGAGTTACTGCTGACCTCTAGTGCTGAGGAAGCTAGGGTCTGGATCCCTTTCCCACTCTGAACTACAACATGTGGTAGAATAAGCAATGAATGCCCTCTTTATGCCAAGCCAAGATACAGCATAGGGAATTTCACAGGATTTTTTTCTTCTGTACATGTTGTATTTCTGTCCTTGTCATCATTTTACGTACAAGAGAAGGTAAAATTAAACTATTTTCATTTCTGAGAAGATGTTGAATTCAATAGCCTCTTATAGGCTCTCTTCATGGTGCCAAGCCTCAACTCTTTTGTATGATCCCCTTCAGTCTTGGGCCATCAACTAATACTGAGGTTGCACCTTTACCAATCGCCTTCCATGGCCTCTCACAGTGCCAAGACTCATCTGCTCTTCATGACACCTCCATGCTTTCCAAACCTATACCACCTGGGTGACTCTTACACATTGCCAAGTCCTGCTGCAACATGAGGTACAACCTTGGCTATCTCTGGAACACAGCTTCTTTGTGTTCTCAGAAAACACTTACCAGAAGATTCAGTGATTCTGGTCTCTTCTTAATTACCACTAATTTCTTAGCTCCAGCTAACCAGCATCAATTGTCCCAGTAGTCCCTTCTATTCTTAATTCTAAGTTATCTTAAGATACCAAGTTCTGCTGCTTGCTGGGGCAGGAACATGGTCCCCTTGTTCTACTATATTATCACCAGCTTTCTGTTTCTCAATTCCTTCACTGCTTAATCTTGCCAGTCTTGGAACTTGTTGTGTAGACTGATTTTGAAATCAGAGATCTGCTTGCCTGTCTCCTAAACACTGGGATTAAAGGTGTGGTTCACCGAGCCTGGATTTAAATTTTTTCTTCACTTAAAACTTGCTCTGTTCTAGGCTGGCCTTGAACTCAGAAGAGATCTGTTTGTCTTTGCCTCCTGGGATTAAAGGCTTGTACTACCATGCATGGACCTAAAGTTAGCTTTGTGGGATCTTGTCCCAAGGTCATTACTCCCTTATTCCAATTTAATATCCCTGAACACAGGATTCAGCTCCATTTTACTTCCTGGTACCCCTTTAATACTCGAACCATATCTTTTAGATTTTTCCTTTCTCGGCTTGCTATGCTTGTTTAAAATACGCTTCATGAGACCTAACCAGAGAACAAAGTCTATGATGGTTCCTTTGTCAACACTGAGACTCTTCACCTTAGCCTCAGGCAGACTCTTCAGACAAGGGCAAAAAGTACCTACATTCTTTACCAAAATACCACAAAAACAGTTTGTAGGCCACATACTGAAATTCTTCACAGAAACTTCTTGGGCCAGGTCCCCACAATTCAATCACTCTCAGTAACAAAGTCTTCCATATTCCTACTAGGATAGCCCATTAAGCTCCACTTAAAGCATGATTTCTTTCCAAATCCAAAGTCCACAAATCCACTTTCTTCCAAACGATAGCATGACCAGGCTTATGAGATGGGAAGGGAAGTCATCTGAGATTACTTGATTCCCCCACCCCACCCCCCACCCCCATCAGAGAAAAAGAAAACCTTCAAGCAAGAGATTCGATTTTATACAAATTTTTGTAAAATCCACATTAGCGATTATATGGAAAACCAGTTAGTTGGGGACGTGGCTAGCTGCAGTAAGATTTCATCGGAGACTGCCAGGCTAGAAAGACACCTCCATCTTCTGTATAATTGGACTTTGCTAGTAAGAAATGTTGAAAAGCAGATGAACTGACAAACTTATATTTAGGGAATTTTTATAAGAAGCTACAAAGAAGTAAGTTAAAAATTGGGATCAGGGAGATGGCTCAGTAGGAAAAACAATTATAGCCAAGCCTGAAGACTGCAGTTAGATCCTGGGTACCACATGATAAAGAGAGCACCAACCTCCTTAGCTGTCCTTTGACCTCTATAAGCATCCCATAACACTTGTGTGTAGCACACATAGATAATAACAAACTTAATTAATTAATTAACTTTTCAAAAATCAAACACTGAACACACTCAGAGGGGAAAGTGGTAGTTTGAGGACAGAGTGGGAGATGTGTAGGCTAAGAGAAAACCCTACGTGTGTTATCAAGTTCTCTCATTTATAACTAATCTCATGCCCTATGCTAGGCGTTACTTCATTAAAGTAAGATATGAAACCAAGGCAAAAGGGAAGAATACCTACTTTATGGTTTTTCATTTCTAGGTTGCTGAATCCTGACTATTGAAAATAATGATATAAGATTTAATTGAATTAAAATTAGCCATAATCACCTGGTTTCACATTAGGATTCCTCCGGAGCGTTAAAAGCTAAATGCCTGAGTTCCCTTGAGTGATTCTCATTTAACTGGGTTTCGCTGGACCCTAGCATAGGAATTTCAACAAAGCTCCTTGGAGGATTCTAATAAGCAGGACTGAGAGTCCTGAGGTCATTACTTGTAAGAACTTATAAGTACAGCTGAGGACTCCACATTAATAAACCAACTTCATTAGTGACACTAATAGAGAGAAAGTGGGAAAAAGTTTTATTGCCCAGGAGGTTAGTGTGGTCAAACAAGTATTTTTAACACACGCACACGCACACACACATGCAAAATAAAAGCCCATTTTCTTTTGTGTGATCAGTTTTAAGCTTGAAAAAAAATGCTATTTTTATTAAGAAAAGTTATTTTAATATCTTTTCATTTATTAATTTTATTTCATTTTTGTCTCTATGTTTGTACATCACATACATACTTGATACTCCTGGAGGCCAAAGGAAGGCAACAGGTACTTCTAATCTAACCTGGGTCTTCTGTTGGAGCAGCCAATGCAGTCCATTGCTCCTGTTCCAGACACCAGCACACATTCTTTAAAATATTGTTTTTATGTGATGGTCAACGAAGAGATTAATTCATTGTCAGTCAAACTTCTTGACTAACAGAAAAATAAAATAAAATAACTGAGCCCGTGGGTATCAATTCTGCCTTTATAAAGAGAAATAGCAGGTGTTTTTTTTTTTTTAATGAATTGCATTGGAAAAGTAGTCGAAAAAGATGAATTCCATCATTTCTCCAAGCAAAGGTCTATATATAGATACACAGATTTAGGTGTGTCTGTATGTGTGTATATATAAACTGGCTACCAAATACACTGGTAATGGGTTTGAGAGTATCACACCACGGATGTTAATTGTTCTTTAATTTGAACTACACAGTTTTCAGAACAGGATTCAAGACCAAGTAAACTATTCTCAAGAAACACAGTGGTGGCTGATAGTACACTTCATGGCCACAGCAGTCCTACTTGGCCTGGATCTTTCAGTACCTCGTGGATCACTTTGGACTCAGAACCAAGGTTTTGTATTATTAGGTTTTCACTTTGTCCCATATATATTCTTTGTATCCTAACTCCGGTTAGAGCAGAGAGCTTGATGAGTTTCAAGTGTCGGGGAAGGGACATGAACTGTGCCACCATCATTCAGTAGTGGTGGTGGAGATCCTGTGAAAGGAGCATAGACAAGAGTTGTTAAGTGGTGTGCCTGCTTCAAGAATGTGTGCAAACGAATGAGTGAGGGGTAAAGAGCAAGAGCTGAAAGTATCTAGGAATAATTGTGTGGTCTTAGAGAAACAGTATGTCAAGGCAATAGAGGAACAAAACAAAGTGCTCTGTAGTCCAAGGAGTCTCTGGGTGAGCCTCTGATCACAGGAGGCGGGATGCAGAGAGCGGACTACAAATCCCAGCAGGCCCTGGGACTATGAGCCTGCGCGCGGCACAACGCAACGCATGCTGGGGGTCGACTGCCAGGGCCAAGATGTCGCTGAGCAAGAAAAGAAAGCTTGAGTCGGGGGGCGGCGGCGCAGAAGGGGAGGGAACTGAGGAGGAAAATGGCGAGGAGCAGGAGGCCGCCCCGCCACGACCCCGGAGGACAAAGCGCGAGCGGGACCAGCTGTACTACGAGTGCTACTCCGACGTATCGGTCCACGAGGAGATGATCGCCGACCGCGTCCGCACCGACGCCTACCGCTTAGGCATCCTGAGGAACTGGGCCGCGCTGCGAGGCAAGACGGTGCTGGACGTGGGCGCGGGAACCGGTATTCTTAGCATCTTCTGCGCCCAGGCCGGGGCCCGGCGCGTGTACGCTGTGGAGGCCAGCGCCATCTGGCAACAGGCCCGGGAGGTGGTGCGGCTCAACGGGTTGGAGGACCGCGTGCACGTCCTGCCGGGCCCGGTGGAGACGGTGGAGCTGCCCGAGCAAGTGGACGCCATCGTAAGCGAGTGGATGGGCTACGGACTTCTGCACGAGTCCATGCTAAGCTCCGTGCTTCACGCTCGGACCAAATGGCTGAAGGAGGGCGGTCTCCTCCTGCCAGCTTCCGCGGAGCTCTTCGTGGCTCCGATTAGCGACCAGATGTTAGAATGGCGTCTGGGTTTCTGGAGCCAGGTGAAGCAGCACTATGGCGTGGATATGAGCTGCATGGAAAGCTTCGCTACGCGCTGCCTCATGGGCCATTCGGAGATCGTGGTGCAGGGTCTGTCCGGAGAAGACGTGCTGGCCCGGCCGCAGCGCTTTGCCCAGCTCGAGCTGGCCCGCGCTGGCCTGGAGCAGGAGCTGGAGGCCGGTGTGGGCGGGCGCTTCCGCTGCAGCTGCTATGGCTCCGCGCCTCTACACGGTTTTGCCGTCTGGTTTCAGGTGACCTTTCCTGGAGGGGACTCGGAGAAACCTCTGGTGCTGTCCACTTCGCCTTTTCACCCGGCCACGCACTGGAAGCAGGCGCTCCTCTACTTGAATGAGCCGGTGCCGGTGGAACAAGATACGGACATTTCAGGAGAAATCACCCTGCTGCCCTCCCGGGACAACCCCCGGCGTCTGCGCATACTTCTGCGCTACAAAGTGGGGGACCATGAGGAAAAGACCAAAGACTTTGCCATGGAGGACTGAGCGTTGCCTTTTCTCCCATCCACCTTCTAAGGAAGGTCTGAAGAGAAAGGGAGATCTGTGATGCAAGTAGGGGACATAGCTGTCTCTTACTTCACTGTTTCTGGCAAAGGGAGTGACCAGACTTCGTTTGAGGACATTCTTCTGGCAATGTTTATTTTAAAAGTGAGCATCCCTGACCAAGGACTGATGCAGTGTGCTTATTAATGGGCTTTTAAATCTAGAAAGCATGTAGTATGAAACTCTTGTATTTCCGTTTCTTTTGTTTAACTGCCGGGGTAGGGGCAGTAAATGTGATTTTATAATTGGTCCATGAGCTAATCTAACACCTCATCCCTTACCAGTATGAAATGGCAAAATGGTTTGGTTACATTTCAGAAACTTGCAATATGATTTTTAGAGCTGTATTTTTTCAGTCCGAATTCTTTCAAGTCTTGGGTGTCTGTAGGATATTTTATCTGTGCTTCCCGATATTCTAAATAAAATTCATCCTGTTAGAAGGTCAAGCACAGGAGAAGTATTTTAAACAACCCCATTCTCATTACTCTTAATACATGGTGTGCTAAATTTGGTGAACCTTAGTAAAATGGCTTAATTTTACAGCCTGTCTAGGCAATTCTAAAAGTGACAGGAGAAAAAGTCTGAAAGTGAAATAGTATGGGGTTTGAATATTTTTATTTTGACTTTAAAGACTGAGCCAAGAAAATCTATATGTTTTATAATAAATATTTTTGTGATTCTTGTAAAGCAGTCTGATAGGGAAGATTGCTGAACCTAGCCCGGGGTGGATCCTTTACCTCCTGTGCTTGCTTTCTTTAAGCACAGGTATAATTCTGTATGAAAGGAACATGAGCACCCTACGTACATCTGGTAAAAGTTCCTGTCTTCAGTTCTTTTTAGTTCAGCCAAATGTGAACATTGTGAATTTGTGGAAATCACTCATAATGAAGTGAGTCAGATTGTCAGATTTATTTCACTGGCAGATCTTCCCTCCTTTCTGTGACAAATAAAATGGCATTCTCAACTTTATAGTTGAGCTCTTTAGACTTCCTGTGTACTGTCTGTGAGTTTATTATAACGCTGTTACCTTTCTCATGGTGTCAGTTCTTAAGTGTTACAGTTCCTTTAGAACACAGCTTCAGGACAGCTCAAATAATGATTAACACAATTTAGAATTCTCTGTAAGACTTAACAGGTGTGAAAAAACTGCTGTTCTTAAGTACTCTTGAATTTCACTTTTTGTAACCTTGGTTCTGTTTTTGGCTTTTTAAAAATATTGTGTATTAAATTGCTAAAGGATTAAAACTAATTTGCTGGGGCTCTATCTTAAAGGAAACATGCAAATATGAAGCCATCAGTCTCGCAAAACAAGCATATTTTGATGTCAGAATACTTAACATCTTTTATAAATGCTTGGTTCAGAGGTTTAAAAAGGAGTTCCTTTGGGATCATCTATGTTTTTAATCAAGTTTTCACCTTAAGTGATTGCTGGTGATTTTGATTGCCCTTTCTATAACAATTCCCTTAGTACTTAAACGTCTGGAATCCCTCTTTTCTGCATAATTCTGTAAATAGAAGTATTATATTCCCCCCCCCCCAAAAAAAGGACATAAAGGAAAATCAGTTAAAACTTGGGAGAGGGGAGTGGAGACTAGATTTTCTCAACTGAGCAAAAGTTTTGAAATTCTAGTTACATTTTCTCAAAAACGAATTAGAAAATAAGGGAGCTGAGGCAGAAGCTAAAGGCAGGAAGCATAGTGGTGTTCTTAGTCAGGTCTCTGGAGCCAGGTAACCAAACACACTCTCTGTGTCTTCAGGCAAACCAGGGGGCCCCCCCCCCCCCCCCCTTCAAAGCCCTCATCCTAACCAGAGAGAACAGTAGCACCCACTCCATAGAGAATTGGGGATACAAGTGATTAACCTAGAAGTAAGCGTCTAGCACCATGCTGCTGAATTTGTATAAAAGGCAAACCTAGAGCAGTCTGATGCTTTGTACAAATTGTGCTCCAGAATGAAGACTCATTTGTCTTTTTTTCTTCTCCACAGGCACTGACAGTATCAGCATGGCTATACATGAAGAGCAATGTATGCCACAGGGTACCAGATCATCCAAAGGAGCACCACAGCCTTTGGGATGAAGACACCAGGGATGGATGAAAGCCTGAGGTGTGTGGACACCCAGGCACTGTCTAATGTGTTCTGTGGATTGGGATTGGTAACTGAAGCCCTTAGGGCCTGGATTATCAGACCCTAGAGAGCATCATGGTAAAGTTCCACCTCCCTCCCTCACACCTTACGTGTATTTAGCCATCTAAACATTTCCAATTTTGTCATTCATTTGCTAAACAAATGAGCATAGTTGCTAAAAATACATCCTACCCGTGATAGGTATTTGAGATTACAGGCAAATGTGAACCTTACCCATAAGTAGATGTCTACCACTAAAGAAAGTAAAGGCCATATGGTTAGGTTAGTTAGGACCTGGGTGGTTTTTGTGTCAGAAAAGCTGGATTATTTGTTGTACACATTAAGTAAAAAGGTTTCTATAGATGCTGATAGACTTGCCTGAAGTTACTTAGATAGTTCTTGTTTGTGAAATGGGATCATACATTGTGCAAGGCTGGCTAGGAACCCAGTATGTAGCTGAGGATGACTAGACTCCTGAGCCTCTTGCCTCCACCTTCCGAATGCTGGAGTTCATAGCTCTATACCACTGTGCCAAGCATAGACCCAGTTTTTAGCAGAACTGTAAGCAGGTCTCTGACTTTCTAAATGCAAACAAAAATTCACTCTCATTATACTAATCTTGCATTCTTCTGTTAAAAACAGGAAATTTCATGCCGCCTTAATGGTAGCAAGGGTTTTATTTTTATTATTTGATGACGGGGAGTGTATAGTACTAGAAAGCCTCTTAGACCTGCCCAGAAGAACCATCTGCAGTATATAACTTGAGTTTGATGTAGTAGGCACTCATTTGGACAGCCCCTATGTTTATTTCCTTAACACTAATCAAACGTGACACTTTCTGCAGTCCCCAGAAAACTGAATCCATGGCAGTAGCAAAGACGAGTGAACTTGTCATTTGGTTATTTGGGCAGAGAGCCCTGAATGTAAAAGAGATAAGAAAATGGAGTTCAAGGTGAATGTGAAAGGCACCTGCTGCAAACAGCTGCCTAACATCTTATTTACTGCCAGCCCTGCTGTTATCCCCACAGTTTACCTAGTGCTGAGGAAAGATGGCTCCTAAGGAGCGGTTACTAACAAGCCCCACTCCTCCACATGCTCATCTCTGTATATGTGTCTCCATTAACTTCATTATCAACAGCTACATAATATCTAAGCGCTATAACAAATGAGCACATCTGCCCCTCAAAGAACTAGGAGACAGTGGGAACAATAAAACAACATTAGTAATTTTCCTGCATCCATAAACCTGGAAAAAAAAATCCTTCCCAGCTCTTAGCTCTGCTGAGCAAGGATGCTAAGGCAGCTGTCATCCTTTAAGCCTCTCTGAAGATCAAAAGTCCTGTTCCTATCATCAGGATGATTGTGAACACCTGAGAAACTTTCCCATGTGATGCTCTAAACTTAGAATGTTGGTCTGTTCATAATAGACAAAGTATATTAAATAGGTGATTCTCACCTACTAAAATAAAAGCTCTAAGCCACATTTATATTTACGTGTGTGTGTGTGTGTGTGTGTATGTGTGCGCGTGCGCACGCACGATTTCCCAGCTTCCTATGTGATTTTTATGCTTCAGTTTGTTTATGATTTATCCTCTCAGTTGTAATAAATATTACATGTATTTTTAGAATTTGTAACCTGGTCTATTCTTTTGGGCATTAAAGTACTTTTGGAGAGCTGGAGTGTGACTGTGTGGTTGAATACATAACCAGCCCGGGCAAGTCCCTGAATTTGATAACTAGCGCTGCAGAAAACAACAGGCTTTCTGGACAAATGAGAAGTTCTGAAGATGAAAAGGTTTCATTCAGATAAAGGATCAGAAGATTTTAAGCATAACATCTTTGTTACCAATAAAATATGGTTGTCTGAGGCTTGCCATCTGGATGGTTAGCCGGTTTGATCCCATCTTTTTTAGTCAGTTTTACAGATGTTGACATTTTAAGGAATCAACATTTCTAAAGATGTGAAAAATGTTAAGCTGTTTGTTTTTTTTTTTCTAAGCTTAAACCAAACCCTAATAAATCTTACACATCATAGTAAGGAAGAGGTACAGATTTCTAAAGATTTTTCAAAATTCATCAAAATCAAAACAGGAAAGATAATTGTATAATTAAACTATGTCTCCAAATTTGTATTTGTGGGAAAAGATATCCAGGAGATTTAATTTAATACTAAAAGGACTTTTAATATTAGGGCATGAACAGTTACAATTGTGGTCTTTTGGAACCTTTTATAATTAAATTCATAAAAATTATAGGGTAAGGTGGGTTAAATCATTCAGTCAACTAAAATGTTTTAAAGATTTGTAGCACAGGCTAGGGAGATGGCTCACTGGTTAAGAGCTCTTGCAGAAGACCCGGATTCAAATTCCAGTATCCATATCTTGGTTCACAACCATCTGTTACTCCATTTCCAAGAGATCCATAGCAATATGATAAGAAATGATGTAGTGGGGCAGATAGTAAATATTGGAAATTGAACAAAACCCAGAATATTTTGCTACATTGTATGCTTATGTAAAAATAAACTAAAATTCATTGCTTTTGAGTTTGGTCACTGAGCAAATAAACTAAAATTTATTAGTTTTGAGTTTGGTCACTGAGCATATTAGCAAAACCACAAATCCAAAATAAAAATAGTTCAAAACAGAAATCCCCAACAAACACTGATAGAAATATAAGCAAACAGCTCTTGATGAGAAAGGCAAAGGAAGACTTTAAGAAAAAAATGCATAAAGATGAGGGAGGTTTAATATGCAATTCTAAGATGAGACTATGGCCAAAGAGACCCAGTGCAAAGCATCTGTGGATCTAGCATGAGATCCTTCCTCTAAGGCTTGATGGACTCAGCAAGGGTGCTTTGTGTTCAGTGGTTGTTAGCACTTAGCATCAAATATTAGAGATGGGAATGATCTGGCCTGAACCAACTTCCACACTGTCTGAGGATACATTTCTAATAACCTATGAATTTTAATTTATTTTTACATAAGCACACATTGTAGTAAAATATTCTGGGTTTTGTTCAGTTTTCAGTAATTTACTTGAAATGATACTGGGTTCCTGGAGTTTGTCGAGGCAAAGTTTTGTGAAGGGAGGTGGAGTGGAAGCTAGTTACAACTACACTTGAGTATGAATTCAACAGGTCGTGCTTTCCGAAGTGAATAAGGAAGGAGGAATACATGTGCTGAGTGACAAACCCAGTGAGGAAACACAAGGAAAGTAGGTGAGTCCAGGAAATGTCTGGACTCAGAAGATACCTGGGTTTAGCAGGTACCAGGATAGAGGATGAGGTCAGTGGCAATAGCGTTGCTCCAGTGACATAAAAACATCTTGAGGCCAGAGGAACCTGGAAGCTACAATTAGTATTGTCACTATGCACCTTGCCCTCAATCACTAATACCTTAGGGGTTTTCTGAAAACATTTGTTTATAAAATAGCTAAGCTTAGACTAGTGGTCTATCACTGTTTACCTATTTGTTTACTTTGACTTTGAGATAAGATCTCCCCACACTGTGTAGCCCAGGCTGGCCTAGGAACTGTGTGCCCTCTTCTTAGCTTACGTTTTAGGCCACTTCAGAATTCCCTGTGTAAAAGAATTACTCAATTTTCTCCTGTCAATAAAATTTGTGCAATCTAGTAATGTGGGGTACAGAGTAGTGTCAGTATTAAGCTTTATTTTAAAACATCAGTTTTCTTATAAATTACGCACATTGTAATTATATGCAATATTAACATACTAATTATAAAATTTTATAAGGACAAGTTATAGATTCTTTTAGTTATATGTGTTGAGAGAGGAAAGATTAAGATCTATAAATGGTTAAAAAATTTGATTCGGTGTATGCATTAACATCAGAATGTTCATAAAAATAGTTTATCAAAATAGCAAGATGCCTATTTTAATGGGAACTTTTAAAATCTACCATCGTTCATCATCCAATCGAATATAGGAAACATTTAAGTGGTTATGAATACACAGTAAAAGATAGAATTTTAAAGAGAGGATTTAGGAAATCCTAAGATTAAATACACAGTCCATGATTAATTGAGAATTTTTCTAGTCAGAATAATTAGAGGAAAACAAGGAGAGAATGAGAGCAATTACAACAAAGGGATTTGAATATAAGATGGAATTAGAAATCAGCAGGATATGTGCTGTTTGTAATAGAATTAAATTATCAGTTGTCTTTCCTTGAATCTTCAGCCAAGGTGATTTTACAGAGTCTGGGCATTCTGATAAGGTAAGATCATACAGAAATTAATTCCATGATACTGGGTCATGAAAAACATGATATAGCTGCCAAATGTAAATCCTTATACAGATAAAGAGGCCAAATGCTGCTAGACAAGGTAACATTAGCCCTATAAATATATGTTAACTCTACCACCCATGTAAATAGTAATTTCATGACATTATTCACAGATAATATATGGGTTATGATTGTTACTAGGACATTTTTCAATTTTAATTTTCATTAATTTTATAATTTCATACCAAATATTGGCATTGTTATATTTTATTATATATGTAATTTTTGAATGTATTGTGGTGTACATGTCTACATATATATATATTGGCACTTGTATGCATATGTTCGTGGAGTCCAGAACTTGATGTCAAGCATTTTTTTCAATTACTGTCCATTTTATTTTATTTAGGCAAAGTCTCTTCCTGACCCCTAAGCTAACAATTCAGGCTAGTCTAGTGTCTTAGTCAGGGTTTGTATTCCTTCATAAAACATGACCAAGAAGCAAGTTGGGAGGAAAGTGTTTATTCAGCTTACACTTCCACATTGCTGTTCATCACCAAAGGAAGTCAGTACTGGAACTCATACTGTGCAGGAACTTGGAGGCAGGAGCTGAAGCAGAGCCCATGGAGGAGTGCTGTTTACTGGCTTGGTTCCCCTGGCTTCCTCAGCTTGCTTTCTAATAAAACCCAGGACTACCAGCCCATGGATGGCACCACCCACAATGGGCTGGACCCTACCCCTTGATCACTAACTGAGAAAATGCCTTACAGCTGGATCTCATAGACACATTTGCTCAAGGGAGGCTCTTTTCCATGTGATAACTCCCACTTGTGTTCAGTTGACACACAAAACCAGCCAGTACATCTAGGTAGCCAGCTTGCTCCAGAGATTCCTCATCTCCCTCACAGACAGTTGTCACACCTTCCCAGCTTTTACATGGACTCTGGGCATCCAAGCTTAGGTCCTCATGCTTGTATGACATTATTCACTGTAAAATTTATCCACTGAACCACCTCCCCAAAACCTGATATGACTTTTTATGCTCCAGTAATAAATTACAAACATCAAAGAAAGTTAGAATAGAAATACTAATAATCCTCTATTCTATACAATTCAGAATTTATGTTCTAATAAATATTTCTGTACATTTTACAACATATGTAAATATATTCATGTAATTCAGCTTGTGTTATATTTCAGGCTCAGTTATTTATACTAAATATATATATTAAGACAATAAACACACACACACACACACATATATATATATATATGTATATATATATATAATCTTATTCTTACTTTAAGCAATATGGCAATCGATAATATGCATATTCAACTAAGTTTCTACCTGTAGATAACATTAGAAATCCTTGTTACCATCACTTAAACCTACCCTGTTCTCTCAGTCTTCTCCTAGATGATCTTAGGAAGTCCTACAACTTTATTTTTATTTTTGATGTTGTTGATTTGGTTGGTTGGTTGGTTGGTTGGTTGGTTGGTTGGCTGGTTGGCTGGTTGGCTAGTTGGTTGATTGGTTAGCTAGTTGATTTTTGAGACTGGGTCTCACTATGTAGCTTTAGCTGGCCTGGAAATATATAGATAAGAATAGCATTGAACTCATAGAAATCCACCTGCTTCTGTCCCAACACTACAGTTGACTCCAAAATTTATATTATCTTGACATTTCTTTTTTTTTTTTTTTTTAAATTTTTATTTATTTATTATATGTAAGTACACTGTAGCTGTCTTCAGACACCCCACAAGAGGGCATCAGATATCATTGCAGATGGTTGTTAGCCACCATGTGGTTGCTGGGATTTGAACTCGTGACCTCTGGAAGTACAGTCAGTGCTCTTAACCACTGAGCCATCTCACCAGCCCAATCTTGACATTTCTATTATGCTAGTTAACATGTCAGTTGTCATTAGCTTTTGAACATAATAAGTATTTAAACCTTGACCTAAAGAAACTATATATTTGTAGTGTAATTTTTTATATTATACAAATATAAATATGTATATTTAGTTATGTATTAAATGTTACCGTATACATATCTCTAGATTACTGATTTCTGGTTTATTTCAGAATTTGATAAAACCATGTGTTACCATGTTCTCCAACAATAAATTTACTTACCATCTTACCATTTCTCTTTTGCAAGCAGCAACAACTATGATCTACTCAAATTAGTTCACTTCTTTAATTCAACATTGACTCTCTTCAAATATAGAAAACACAATCCTCTTTTGCATTCCAGAATTTAGTTAGTGAATACTAATGTTATCTCATTTCTTAGTTAAGTTTATTATTGCTATGAAGACACACCATGACCAAGTTAACTCGCATTTCTTTCCTCCATTTTTTTTTTTTTTTGGTTGTTTTTGA